CTTATTTTTATATTTTTCAAGATATTTTCCAATATTTATAGAAGATATATTCATTTATTTGTAAATGCTATTCTATGGGAATTTGTGATAATTGAGTCAATTGTATCTTAATATGTTTTAATTAGAGCGGACTTTTGGGGAATATGAAACACACGGATGAAACGTGAGTAGTCACCTTACTTTTACGACTATAAATAAAAGTAGAAGGGAACTTTCTTTACTCAAATTAAATTCTCTCTACAACTATTCCTCTCATGTGGTCCTCAGACAGACGTACAAAAACTATCTTTACATCCAAGAAAAAAAATGTTTCTCTACTAAATATTTTTTGTACATCTGTCAAGGATCACATCAGAAAGAAGTAGTTTATTTCATTTCCTAAACAGTATTATTTACATTTATATTATTCACCATAAAAGGTCGGATTATTATTTCTTATATGCTCATCTCTGTAATTTATACCTAAGTAAAGTACTAATATAAATCTCAATTCATTTTTTTTTATGTAGATATTCGTGGAATTAATTATTAAGTATGTAATTATTATCTTATACATTTCATTCAGCTATTAAGCAACATTATTTAACGTATAGAACAAATATAATAATTTAGTGAATGAATTTTAACAAAAAATGATATTTTATATAGTGGGAAAATTCGATTGCATATATAATATATAATCATATTGAGTGAATATGTGAATTACCTAATTATATACTGTTTTAACGATTTACAGTATGCAATTAATAAATTATAATATTTTGTAAATATACAGCGTGAAATTGTAATGACAATGTTTTTAAGATGCTTCATATCTATGGCAAGTAACAATAATTGTTATGTACATAACTCGATTTATGGTAAGTTATTCATATATGTGAATGATAATTTCATATAAATATATTTAAATTGGTTATGTTCATTTATCAATTTTTAGTTTAAAATAAAAAGAAATCTTTACATATCATAATTGATTAATAGATATTGTTAAGATTCACTTGTAGGATTTGTGGCCGTAAATTTAACCTAAAATCTTTAATTTTATTCTTAGTCTATCTTCCCTCCCTAATCCATCATTTTTTGCTATATTTTAATCTTCACGAAGAGGTTTTATGAGAGGTTAAATTATGCCTAGGATTAAACATGTTGATCGGAAGAATAAACAGAAGACTTGTTGTCTGGTTGGAGCAGCCAAGTTAATAATTCAGGGTCATCATCTACTAATTTGTTTACTCAAAACTCAGATATAGTGGATAATCATTTTGAAAACGAGATCAAAGGTCATTCACTGTTTCCACAAATTTTGGTAGACAGAACAAATACTGAATCCATAACTAGAACGCGTAATCAATTTTCTTGTACTGTATGTGATGGACTGGAAAACTGTAAGTCTTCTTAAATTGATGTTTAGAAACTATTTTCTTTAAATCTTATATTATTATCGTTAACACAATGGTTATAAATCATTAAACTTTAGTATGTGACATTATTATTTCAATAATTCAGCTTTACATACTCAAACAAATTATACTGGGAAAGAGAATTCTTTCACATTAAAAAAGAGAAAGCGGAAACAACTAGAATCACTATCTTCATGTGAGTTATATATGTTTGGCGTATTATGGTCCTTTATATATAATGTACCTTGATAAGTATTGGTTTTCGTAATTTTTATTTTATTTATATAGCCGACCTATCCCAGTTGACATCAACGAAGTTAACTAATTTTGGGTCAAGTAACAAGTCAACCAAGTTTGTTTTCTTAAAAAATGGAGATTCATCTTGTATACGGAATACAGATGCTATATCTTTGTATGAAGATTATAAATGTAAACAGGAGATTGGTCAGAACTACAACGAGAATATTCTCGACCATCAACATCATGAAGGTAAGTACTTATATTGCAACTAATTTTGTGCCCAGAAAATATCGTTTACTTGTATTTCGTATTGTTTTAAATTCGTCTGTCAGGACATGTTGATTATAGTAGTCTTGGTGTTGATGATACCAAAGATATGTATGATGATGTCGTCTTTCCAAACAAATACTGGGATTCAGAAGGTAATATTTTATTTGCTGTATTGACTTAATGTGCAATTATATATACTTATACTTTTTAACTAATAACAATTATATATTTTATAGATGAGTATGATTATGAACAGCGGTTTGACTGTAGCAGTCTTGATGGTTCCTCCGATGAAGAAAACTATATTATGGATGAAGCTGGCGAAGAAATTTTATCTGACAATGAGGAACCTGAAGACTATGTTTATGATGTCAAGATTTTAGCTACTATTTTGCAGAAAACGTTTTCTGTAGGAGTCTCTAATAATAATAATCATTTCAGCGAATATAAAGGTATTTATTTCTAAAACTCAATCTTATGTTATGTGTTTCACATATTAATTTATTATAATGTCGGACTACTTTTATATTCAGAATATAAAGATGATGGCTATCCTTCATATGAGTGTAATTATTGTGGTGCAATTTTCTGGTATGGTGAATGTTTAAACAAAAGAAGAAGAGCAAAGAATCCTATATTTTCTTTGTGATGTTCGCAAATTCAAGTAAAGCAACCATACCTTTGAGATTCTCTAGAGGAATTCATGCATCTATTTACATTTGCCGATGATCTAAGCAAACATTTTCGCAAGAATGTTAGACCCTACAATATGCTATTTTTAATGACTTCAATTGGAGGTAAAGTAGATAGGTCGATCAAAAAGGGGTGTGAACCATCAATGTTCCAGCTTAACGGAGAGAATTATCATTTGATGGGAAGTATGCTCCCTAAACCTGGTGATGTTACAAAGTTTTATCAGTTATTTATTGTTGACAGCGATGAAGAAGTACAAAATTGTTCGACCATTATGAGGTATAAATAATAATTGAATTCATATTTATTATTACTTTATTATAATAATAATAATATATTTTTCTTGCAGCAAAAGTAAAAATCCTATGAATGTGTCTAAACGTAAACAATTCAGGAATGAATTAATTGATAGGCTGGTTAAGATGTTAGATAAGGTGAACCCTTACGTGAAGAATTTTTGAGCTGCTGAGACAGATTAAAAATGGATCCCAACGAGGAGCTTCATATGAGACTTATAAATGATCGCCATAAAGACTCAAGGATATATAATATGCCTATTGCGTCTGAAGTGGCTGCGTTGATCTCTGGTGATCTGAATGAGGATATGTGTAAGCGTGATATAATATTGCAGAAACAAAGCGGCAAGCTGATAATGATTAGTGAAATTCATCATTCATACATTGCTCTACAGTATCCTTTGATTTTTCCGTATGGTGAAGACGGCTTCCATATTCGCATTGAAAAATGCTTTGCAAAGACTGGGAAGAAGAAACGGAAACGAGAATATATTAGCATGAGACAGTTTTTTGCATTTCGTATACATGAGCGAAAGAATGAATGTCACACTTGCTGCGTGCTAAGAGGTTATTCCAGCAGTTTCTGGTTGATGTTTTAACTATGATAGAGGCAAATCGTGTCGGTTATCTTGACAAAAACCAGACATCACTCAGATCTGAAAATCTTGATTCAATAGAAGATGCATCAAATAAAGGTAAAAAGAATTTGCGTGATCAAGGTAGAAAAACGTATTTGCCTCCTTCATTCACTGGTGGACCTCGATATATGACTCAATGCTACTTGGATGCAATGTATGTATGTAATCATTTTGAGTACCCTGATCTGTTCATCACCTTTACATGTAATCCAAAGTGGTCAGAAATCACAAGGTATGTGAACGAGCGGAAACTCAGCTTTGATGATAGACCATATATAATTTGTCGGGTGTTCAAAATGAAGCTAGATTCTATGATGATGGATTTTGCTGATAACAGACTCGGTATAGGAAAAATTATTTCTGGTTAGTAACTTTGGCATTCTTTAATATTGACATTTGTAATATCAATATCATAGAGTTTATTCATTGATATATATTTTCGTAATTTCAGCCATGTACACCAAAGAGTTTCAGAAGAGGGGTCTACCGTATGCACATATTCAATTGTTTTTAGATCCAACTTCAAAAATTCCTCCTGAAAAAATCGACAATGTTATATCAGCTGAGATACCCGACCGATATGAAGAGTCAGAGCTTTATAGAATTGTTTCAGAAATGATGATTTATGGTCCATGCGGTGATCTTAATCCAAGATCACCATGCATGTCTCAAGGGATTTGTACAAAAATGTATCCTAAACAGCATGCTGAGACGACAGCTATTAATAAAGAAGGTTTTCCTTTGTATAGAAGGAGGTCACAGCTCGAAGATTACGTTGACAAAAATGGGTACAAATGTGATAATAGATTTGTGATACCCTATAACAAGAAGTTGTCTCTTTGTTATCGAGCTCATATCAATGTTGAGTGGTGCAACCAAGCTTCTTCCATTAAATACTTATTTAAGTATATAATAAAGGGTTTGATCGTGTTACGTTTTTGATTGAGCCTTCACAAGCACAGAATGTGAAAGCTGATAGAGGAGATAACAATCATTGTGATTCCACACATGAATGTCAAGCAAAGAAGAAAATGAGATTAAAGACTTCTTCGACTGCAGGTTTGTTGTCAACACTTATATTTGAACTATTGTCAGAATAAAAACTATATATTTAATTGAATATTTTAGTTGTTTACTTCTAACATACTATTTTATTATACAGATATGTATCTGCGTGTGAATCTGTATGGCGAATCTTAAAAAATCCAATCCACAATCGTGTGACCACCGTGGAACACATTTCATTTCACTTACCAGGCAACAGTTGGTATATTTCAAGGACGATGAAATGGTAGAATTGGTTATCCATAGAGAAGTTGTAAAGAACATTTCCTCTGAAAACCAATATATTCATGCAAGGACAAAACAATCTTAAAACCAATTTGATAGGTTCAGAGAGCAGAGAGAGGGAATATGTGAACAATTTTCTTTTCTAATTCACTCCTGATATATTGCGACCAACAAAAAACAACACAATTAACCAAATGATATTTGTCAGTTACAACAAACAAAAAATGAGAGTATATCAACGAGCAGTCTCAGCTCTCCATAAACCCAGAGGTTTCCACAACACCTAGAAGCATGATAACAGCACCTAACTCTTGTCTAAACTGATTACATTCTTAACTAAATTGTTGGTTTAACAATTGGATTTGATGAACTCTTACCACAATGTCTCATCAAAATCAAAAGCAATGAAAAAGGTACCTTATCTCCTGGATGTGAACCTGTAGTTTTGGAAAAAGGCCTTTCATTTCCACTCCGGGTGATTGAACTATCAGAAAAAGAGAAGATCATCATAAACTCAGAAAAGCAAGCACTTTCGTCGAACACATTGTGTGCGCAAAATAAAGCATATAAAAATCCGCAATGAAAGGTGAAGGAGCATCGAAGAGTTAATTACCACAGGAACGATAGAAGTCATGATCGTCGGCTACCATGAGGAAATCAGGGTCATAGAGAACTCCTTCCCCACTTGATCCAATCCCGCCTCCTCCTTTACCTCTTTTGGCACACAGGTTCTGTTGCATCCTCTTGTGAGCACAGCCATGAGGCTTGTATATTTGGGGATTTTTGATTGCTCTCTCCAAACTGCCACCAAACAAACCCTAATACAGATCCGTTTCTCCATCTAAAGCACAAAAACGTCGGAAAAGAGCCAACCAGTTCGAACCCTTGGCGTGAAGCCCCTTGTCTCCGACTAAGCTCATACCCATACCACCACCAGTCGCCGATGTCAAGCTCGGGAAAGGAAGCTTTGGATCTCGGCGGCGCTGTTTGTTTAGGATGAAGTCACACCAAAGACGAGAGAGAAAATCGTTTTGAGAAGAGGAGGAGACGAGGAGAGGAAAAAAAACTTAAGAGAGGAAATCGTGTTTCGCGAGGAGGAAGAGAAAAAGAAAAATTAAAGAGAGAGAATAAAAATAGAGAGAATCGTGTTTTGTGAGGAAGGAGACAAGGGAAAAAAAAAATATTTCTGTCAAACCTAAAAAATTTGGGGAAAACATTTCACCAAAACTAAAATTATCCTCAGTATTTAGCGCCCATGATAGAAATTAGACTCCAAAATTATTTAATGCTTCTTTTTGGTAAAATTATGGGTTTAGCATTAGTAAAGTGCTATAATAGAGTATTTGAAGTTTATGAGTTTTTTTTTTTTAACAGTGTAAATACTTAGAACAGTTTAGTAATCTAAACCGGAGGTATCGAGTTTACATAATTGATATCGTGAGGGTAGATCTGAACACTCCATGCTAGATTGTCTGCCTTCATATTCTTTGTTTGTAGGATATGTTTTTAACTTTTTATGAATTATTTATTTTTAAATAAATATATTTTATATTTTTCAGTTTATGAGTTATTTAGTTTTCAACTAAATTTAACTTTTGCATTTAAATGTTTTTAAGTGATTTGCAATGATTAAATATTTTTTAGTTATGAAATCGCCGAAAACCCTATACCCCAAAATCTATGTCTTACACCCTTATACATTAAACCATAAAAATATATACATAGGCCTATACCCTATAGTTTATACCATTAAACCTACACCTCAAATCATATGCCATAAACTATAAATAAAAGATTCACTAACTTTTTCTTCTTATGTATATTGTAATAGTTTTTTCTATTCCATTTTATGCTCTAATTATGAAACAATAATTTGTTGTATAGTTTTTTTATAACCTGAGAAATAACAAAGATATATTACAAGTGTGAATCCTTAAACTCTAAATCAAACAATCTTTAATCCAAAAAGTTATTAAATTTCTATAGTAATAAAAATATAAAAATGTATTTCAAATCCTATATCTTTTTATCCTAAACCCAAATTTTACACTTATTAACTTTTTGTTTTTATTTTGTATTTTGTAATAGTTTTTTCTATTCTATTATGTTTTCTCAGAATAAAACAATATATTTTTTATGTTTTCTTATTTCAATTGAAATAAAAATTTTAAAAAAAAATCTACCCTAAATCACACATATTAGTCAATAAAAATTCCTATATATCTATTATAAATAGTACTAAAAAATATTTGACTCACTCGTTGGTTATTTGACATTTGTTACTTTTCTGTTCATAAACTCTTACCTAAAACTTTATTAGTATATTTTATTAGTAATGCTAATGATCCAAGATCAACAGACAACAGCATCTTTGAATTCTCAAAATCAGCAATACACATTGTTTAATTTCTTCAGCAACAATACATCAGATACAAGTTTGTAGATAAAAATAAAATAGAATAAGAAATTCATTCAATTGAGTTTTTGGATGTTTATCTGAATTAAACCTATTTTCTTATTTATTTTTAAATAAACTTGTGATTTAATCTTGTCACAAAGTGGTAACAATTATGTCATAAAGTGGTAACAATTATGTCATAAAGTGGTAACAATTATGTCATAATCTATGACCAAGCTTAAAAGTGACTAAAATAGTAACTAATTGTGATAATGTACTTACAAAACATTTGTAACTTTGAGTGACTTAAGTATAATCACAAAAATCGTATAATTTAGTTACTAAATTTGGTCGCAAATCTGTAATATATTTGTTACTATATATTATGTAACAATTACATCACGATTAGTGACAAAAATTTGTTACTTTTAATTTGGTCACAAAATTATGACGAAATGGTAACGATTTTATGACTAAATAATTTGGTCACGGTTTCGTATGAAAATCGTAACAAAATTGTTACAAAAAAAATTTAGTCACAACTTTTCGTAACAATATTCACTTTTTTTGTAGTGACAAAGATGAAGGCTTGGTTTAAGTTGAACAAAAAAGGCGGTAAATGTAAAACACTCACGTATGGAGAAATCCATGTTTACTATACGTGGGATAAATCACTTCGGATGTTTAAACCAAGGAAAAGAGGTTTTGCTATTGGAAGGATTACTTATGTTCCACGTAAACTAGAAGAAGCTTATTTTTTGAGGATTCTTCTTAATGTTGTCAGGGGTCCAGAATCATTTGATGACATCAAATCCTACAATGATGTGGTATACCCTTCTTTCAAGAAAGCATGTTATGCTAGAGGGTTGTTAGAAGATGACCAGGAGTATATTACTAATATTATTAGAATGAGTTTTACTGCTACCGGGTCATTTTTAAGACGACTATTTGTTATAATGCTTGTATCTGGTAGTTTTTCTCGGCTTTAATATCTTTGGGAACAAACCTGGGAAGTTTTGTCAGAAGATATTGAATGCATGCGGCGACAGCATTGTAATCGGCCAGGTTTGATAAATTCAGTACCATTTTCTTATTTATTTTATTGCATCTTTAATGGTATTGTTTAAAACCGTAATGCATTGTTTAATTTGTTACTGATTAGTAAATTCATTATACATATAATTTACACGTTTTGCAGGTCTTATATTGGACGATGCTGATAAGAAAAAGTTTGCCTTTTTGGAGATTGAGAAGATCTTGAAATTTCACAATAGTTCGTTGCAATTCTATACATCAATACCTAAGCCTCCAAAAGATGGGCTTAACAACGATAATATCTTAATAATTGATGAAAAAAATTATGATAGGCAGGCATTAAAAGAAATGCATGATAGAGACATTGTGAAGCTTACCACTGAGCAAAGGAAGATTTATGATGAGATTATTGAAGCAGTTGAGAACAAAAAAGGAGGCATTTTTTTGTATATGGATTTGGAGGTGCTGGCAAAACTTTCCTTTGGTCTTTTTGTCTGCTGTAATAAGATGTAAGGGTGATATTGTGCTAAACGTTGGATCAACTGGATTCGCATCTTTGTTGTTACAAGGGGGTTGGACAGCTCATTCGCGTTTTGGTATACCTATTAACCCAGATAAATATACTACATGTTCGATGAAACGTGGTTCAGAAGTTGCGAATTTGATAGAACAAACATCTCTTATTATTTGAGATGAAGCACCTATGATGAGTAAATACTGCTTTAAATCGTTAGATAAAAGTTTATCTGACATCATGCAGAATGAAGAAGGAGGTGTTTTCGGTGGGAAAGTTGTTGTATTTGGTGGAGATTTCAGGCAGATTCTACCTGTCATGCATGGTGCTTCAAGGGGAGATGTTGCTAATGCTGCATTGAATGCATCCTATATCTGGGATTATTGCAAAGTTATGAAGCTAACAAAAAACATGAGATTATTGGCAAGTGACTTGAGTGTTGAGCAAGCAAATGAATTAAAGGAATTTTCGGAATGGATTTTAGATGTTGGCAAAGGTAAAATCGCTGAGCCAAATGACGGTGAAGCAATGATTGATATTCCTGAGGAGTTCCTTATAACGAACATACATGATCCAATCGAAGCAATATGTACATAAATTTACGGAGAACGGGAGGAAAAAGAGGCCAAGTTTTGGCAAGAAAGAGCAATACTTTGTCCAACCAATGAAGATGTGAACAATATAAATGAACATATGTGTCGAAAATGACTGGTAAGTACAATATGTTCATCTTATATGATTGTGTTTTTAGTTTGTTTTTGGAATTTTATTCTTACTTATATCAATATTTTGAACTAATTAACACAGCTGAGTCAAAAGTATATCTGAGTTCTGGTACTATAGATCATGCTGACTCTGGAACATTGCAAAATCCCGCTTTTACTCCTGAGTTTTTAAACAGTATAAAAGTTGCTGGACTTCCCAATCATTGTATTACATTGAAAATAGGGGGTCCTGTGATGCTGCTCAAGAATATTGATCCTAAAGCGGGATTGATGAATGGAACGAGACTTCAGATTACACAAATGGCGGATTTCATGATAGAAGCAAGAATTATTACCGGAGATAAAGCTGGAGACAAAGTTATTATTCCACGATTGCTGATCACTCCATCTGATGCAAGATTGCCTTTTAAATTAAGACGTAGACAGTTACCGTTGGCAGTTGCATTCGCTATAACCATCAACAAAAGTCAGGGAAAGTCGTTATCAGAAGTAGGTTTGTCTTTACCTCGTCCTATGTTTTCTCATGGGCAGCTATATGTTGCAATATCTCGGGTAACATCGAAGAAAGGCTTGAAAATACTGATAGTAGATAGAGATAGTAATCCACAAAGGCAAACAATGAATGTTGTATTCAAAGAAGTATTCCGGAATTTAGGAAATGATCGTGATGATTAAAAAGGTATGTATTTCATTTTCGTATTCGTTCCATTAATAATATAATGCATTCATTATTTAAAACTTTTTGTTTTTATGTTTTATGTAGGGGTGAATGCGTCACTGTATTCCTATGGTTATTATATGGTTCGGCTCGGTGTTGTTTATCGTTTGACGTTGTTATATTTTTCAATGGAACAATATATATCGAACCAATTGAAGTATTATTTGTTTTTTAAACGGAAATTACCTCAAATAACTTCGAAAACTAGTAACTTTACTACACTAACACCTAGGTGAGCTCTCTTTACTGAACAAACCCATGTTTTTTGGTTAAACTCTTGTAGACCCTTTTGGATTCTTTTTATTACGGATTATGCCATTATCGAATTAATTCATGTAATTTATTTCATTTGACTAAACGTGTGAATTAAACAAATAATTAAGTAATGCAAACATAATTTCTTTCTTCATTGCTCTCTTCGTCTTCTCTCTCGTTCTTGCGACGGCGACTCTGAGATTAGGGTTTTTTAGTGCGGCTGCGAAGGTGAAGTTCTCCGGTGGAATCGTCCATCGATAGTCGTTGTCGGGAGAATTCCGGTGGCGTTTTAGGGTCCGTTCGTCTTTGCTGGTCGAGAGTGAGCCGAAAATCGGCGGTTTGTTATCTCGGGTTTCGTAGTTGCATTTCGCCGGTGAGGAAGGTAATTCCGACAACCCCAAATTGATTTGTTGTTTATATTCATAGATTTTCAGGCGTTGTTTTATAGTTTAGAGTGAGATTTTTGTTAAACATGGGTTTGCTTACAGATTTGAAATTTTGTAAAAACGTATGTCTGAGATTTTGTAATATTTTCATATCCTTGAAACCCTTATATGTGGTTAATATTTTCCGGGGTCTGGAGATGCATTCTGAAGAAGTGATATTGTTTTTGAATTTGGCGCGTTATCTTGATGTCTGTTTTGAACTTTTAATGGAAGATTTGTTTATATTGTAAAGAAAATAGTGGAAGAGTTTTGGTTTTAATGAATTGGTGGCTGATTTGATATAGTTTTGGTTTTGGTTATGGTTATATTTTGGGACAGATTTGTCGACAGTTTTGGTTATATTGACGGAAGATTTATTATCCATAGATCTTCTTATGTGACAGTTTTATGTATGGTATTGGAACAGTTTTGTTGTGCTAAAGCGGAAGAGTTATCGGTTTTTACTGAAACTTGTTTTTTATGCTTGCAGCTATGGCGTCATCTAGTGGGACTAAAGTTTATCCTCCGCGCCTATATCCGGAAGGAAAATCACCTCTGCAGAACCGAAGCATGAATCACTACTGCTTCCTCAACTTGTTTGGGAGGGTGAAAGATGGAATAGGTGCAGATGTGTTTGAAAACATCAAGGAGACTTCCCAGGTTGGAGTAATATTGAAGCTGGCAGACATGGACTTTGTATCGTCTTCAAACCTTCTTCACAACTTTCTTACGCGACAGCTGTCAATAGAAAATGGTCATGAGATTTGGATTTTGATAGGAGGTCAGCCCATCAGGTTCTCTCTGCATGAGTTTTCTGATATTACGGGGTTGAATTGTGATAGACTTGGGGATGATGATGAGGCCGAAATAGATGACTCTGAGTTCTGGAAAGAGTTGAGAGTCAGTGGAGGTGGACCAAAATTTAAACATCTCGAAGCATTGTTGTCTAGATGTAGGACTTGGAGTTTTGAGAAGAGAAAGATGATTGGATTGCTGTGTATTCTATCAATAGGAATCTTAGGAATATCTCAAAATAGCAGAATCCCCATGAAGTATGCGAAAATGGTCTTGGATTTGAATGCATTTGAGAGGTTTCCGTGGGGAAGGGTTGGATTTGAAAGCATCATTAATTCGATAAAAATAGTATGCTTCGAGAAAACTAGCTATGTAGTCCATGGTTGTGTGCATGCATTGGTCATATGGGGATATGAGTCGCTGCCTTTCTTGGCCGAAAAATTTGGTGATAGGAATGAAGCTGCAAATGTGGTTCCTCTTCTCCGTTACAAATCAAGTCGCAAGCGTTTTAATTTTGACGCATATGTGTTGCAGGAAAAGCAAGAACACGGCAGGGTAAGTTTTAATGTTAAACATTTGATTACAGTAGTTGATTGTATGAGTGAGAAATTATGTAAACATTTATCATTGCTGTGTTTCATTGTAGGTACGTGTAAGGCATATGGTGGACAAGGAAGAAGAAAATCTTTTGCCATCTTGGCCAGATGAAAACATGGATTGTAGCCTTAAAAATCTTGTAGGAGATATAAAGCATGGTCGACTTGATGTCAGTTTTTGGGATGTACCGAGTGCTGATAAGGGTACAAGTGAGAAAGCTAAGTCCGTGAGGTCAAAGAGTAAGAAGGGAAATGACAGTGATGATGATTTCGTGGACAAGGTTCCACAGAAGAAAAGGGTTGTGCAGGAGAAGAAGAACAAAAGAAATGATGAAGAAGAAGCCGCAAGAAAAGATGGGAAGAAGATCCGGAGAAGTAAAGGGAAAGAGATAGTGAGTGAGGAGGAGACAGAGGACGATTCGGATGTTAGCGTAGAAGCCGTGAAGAAAAAAAAGAAGGGCCATAAAGCTGAAACTGGGGTCAATAGCGCCTTTGAGAGAGAACTTTGGTCCTCTGGATTAGTGTCTATGATTGAGACTTTGAGTTCTAAGGTGGACGCTATAGACAACAAATTCTCCTCAAAGTTTGATCAGTTTGATTCAAAGTTTGCGTCCTTGGATCAGAAGATTCGGATTGTTGAGAGCGATGTGACGAGGATGAAGCAAGCTCGAGCAGAAGATGTTGCTGATGCTGCTGAGGACGGTAAGTCTGCTACCAGAAATGGTGATGATGTGGGTGATGAGAATAACGAGCAGGTAAGTGTTTTCTAACAAACCCTGCAATCTCATTGATTATTAATAAGAAAGACCAATCTGTACTCATGAAGTTGACTTTTTTTGGCAGAACGAAACTTAGCGGTTACCGGAGAATTTGAACCATGCTAGAGACATCTGATGAATCGAATGAATGGATTGCAAATGATTTTTCCCCTTTTTTCTTTTGTTTTTTCTTTGTTTTGTCTTCTTTTCGGATTTGGCCTTTTTCTCAGTGTTATGTTCGTTTTGTTTCTTTTCGGATTCTTGGTTTTGGGTGTTTGATTTTATCTTCTGTTAACATAAATAAAGGGAAATAAACTTAGTACTTCGTTTGAAATTGTATAGTAGTAGTTATGATTTTTAGTAGTAGTTTGGCTGATATATATTATAAATCTGTCAATATTTCAGCAGTCATGGGTACTTAAGATGAAGGACACATCTGAAGATTCATTTCAGGTAGCTTGCTTGGTTAGGAATCCAAAAGCTACCACTACAACTCCCCGAGAAATAAAGAAAGAACCAGAAGAAAAGACTCCAAAATCAGGGAAAGCGTGTGGCTCTTTGAAGAAAAAAGAGCCAAAAGATACTGTGGATTCAAAGAAAAATGAGTTGCCTGCAGTAAATCTATCTGAGGGTTCAGAATCGTTTGGAGAAGAGCCGAAGAGATTTGGCGTAGCATTGGATAAATTGCTGGCTCTGTCAAAGCGTGATGATTGTGTCATGAGGGAAGCTAGCGCTGACATAGATAAGCGACACATCTCACTTGCAGCCTCACAAAGAAGCCCTTACATTGGTAATTCTGGTGTGAAACGCGTTATGTTTGGCTGTCATCCATCAGATGATTCATATGATCCATTTGAGAAGGTTTTGGTCTCAAAGGTGGAGAAGCTAATGGCGTTCCTCGATCATGATATGTACGTTTCTTCCATCTCTAAATGAAATCAACTTTTTGTTTTGGGTTTAATATTAAAGTTTTACTACAACTTTTTGTAGGAATAACCCATTACCAAGTAGCAACGCAGATTCTAAGTTTTATCTTACCATCAGGACTCCTAAAGAGCTTTGGCCGAAAACAGACAACGAATTCGGGTGGCTAGGAGATATGGTATGCAAGATTTATTGGATGTACATTGTTTCATATATCATCTTCCTCAGTTAGAAGACTTTAATTCCTGTTGTTTTCTTTTGCAGCATTTGTGCTCTGCAATGCATATGCTGCGAAGAAGGTCTATGAGAGATCGTACTCCTTTTAGGACCGATAGGATTGCATTCCTCGATCCCTGGTTTGTGAGCCAATGGTGTTTCGACTACAAGAACAACTTTGAGGGGAAATAGAAGAATTGGATGTTTCTGGAGCTTAATACAAAACGCGGCGTTTTACAAATGTTTATTAAACCACAGAGTTATTTAACGACAGAGTTATTCAGACATAGATTAAACGACAGAGTTATAACACATGTAATAACAGTTTTATGAGAAAGGAAAACAGTTTTACAAATTCTTTAACAACAGTTTTAATATCATACACACCAGATCTATCAGAACACGTAACAGATTTAATCAACGGGACATGTAAGGCGATTATGCCCACCACCGTTGCATTTCGAGCAAGTGTACACCTTCCGAGGTCGTTTTTTCTCCATTGCGACATCCAGAGCTGACTTTATCCTACTTTTCTTTGGTCTTCCTGGCTGTTGCCGCACCGTAGGAGGGAGACACACCTTTCCACGGACGTTGTTTGGAACAGGTACCGATCTATCACAAGGCATTACGGACTTCGCGTACCCATTGCATAAGTAAGTACTGCGATAATATGGATGAGCCAAATCGATCCGTGACATCTTTGCAGCCTCTGCCGCAGCAATTGCATGAACGCAAGGGATTTTGTCGATGTCAAAACGACGACAAGTGCATTTCTTTAGCAACAAATTGACAACATTCAGAGAAGACCCACAAGTAACTTGTGCTTGATTGGCATCAATCTCCTATACAGTGAGTTGTTTTGCCTGCTCGACACGCCCCTGCAAAAAACGATTGTGGTATACATGACTTTCAAACCAAAGTATAATGCAGCAAAGTTAAAAAAGTTGAACAACTTACTTCTAACAACTTTTCAACCCCAGTTGTTAAAACAGTTTTCATCTTTGCTGCAAATTTCCTCTTATAGGCAAACCACCTGGTCAACATACAACGGATTTCATCTAGTAACAGACATATTGGATAACCCCTTGCTGGTTTGAGAACCTTGTTCATGCATTCGGCATTGTTAGTCGTCGTAAAGTTATATCTATCTCCAGGGAAATGAACCCGGGTCCATTTACGCACATCAGCTTGCTGTAAATACACATACAGCTCGGGGTTGACAGCTTCAATTTGCTCAAACAGAATATTGAAATCAGAAAGTTTGTAAGCACATGCGGCCTTCTTAACCAGTCCAAAAGTATCTGCACCTTTGAATTTCAAAAGTATATTCTTGTGTAAATGATATGTGCAGATCCCTCGACTAGCAAGTGGGTACACTTTCGTTATTGCCTGACCTATTGATCTATGCCGGTCAGATATTATAGCTAACCCGTGGTCATCCGGAATAACAATGCTTAGCTGCCTAAAGAACCATTCCCATGAATCGTGATTTTCAGTATCGACAATGGCAAAAGCTACTGGAAATATTGTGAAATTGCCATCTTGCGCTGTTGCAATAAGTAGTGTACCTTTATATTTCCCGTGGAGAAATGTTCCATCGACCACAACAACTTTCCGCATAAAGGCAAATCCTTCTATGATGGCTCCAAATGCAATGAAAACGTACTTAAAACAGTTTTCTGGATCAACTTCTAGCTTCGTAATTTGCTCTCCTTATCCTATACAGGTATGTTGGAAGATCATCATAACTGTTTTCTTCCGTGCCTCTTACCAACTCACGTGCGGTTTTAAGAGTCCGATGAGCCTTCCAGTAATCCATCTGAAAATGGTCAATTATAAACCTTATAACTAGCTACTACAACACTCACAATGATCAAAATATTTCTTATAACTCATTTTTTGTTACCTTAATACCATATCTTTTGTTAAGTGAAGCAGCCACATGATTAGGCAACACTGTCGCATCAATACCACCAACGAACTCTTTGTACATGTGACCTAGTATCTGGTGAGTTGCTTGTCGAGACCGAGATGAACGCTCTGTAACTGAGAAACTATGCTCCTTTACATATTTGCGCACGTAAAACTTCCCACTGTTGTCAATCGGTGTAGCTCGAACTCTCCATGTGCAACCTTCAACCCAGCAATTAACAGTATACAACGACCGCGTCGATCGATCAATATCAAAATCAAAATTATGCAGCACTGACAGAATTTGCAATCTTTTCTGTAAATCACATTTACAGTCATATCGTTGCCCTACAGCCAAATCAAGTGAAGCTATTTCTAGTTGCTTAAACTCATCATCAACCTCATGCAAGATTTTCTCTTTTTCAATTCCATGATTGATTTCCTCTTCTCCACTGACGTCAACAGAGCTCCCATACTTACTGTAGTTCTCATCATCTGAAGTAGCACCATCGATATCATCACAGCAGTCGAATCTATATTCCTCATCTTCATCACCGATGTCGTCGTCGACGCCTTCTTCATTTTCTGGGTGGTCTAGACCTGGACCAAATTTTCTTTCCTCCTTATGTCCACCAACCCAATTTGCATCCTTCTTCTTTTCCTTCTTTACCGAAGACGCATCGTAGATCTCTTCCTCGCCGCCGTCGTCTTCCCTCTCTTTCAACTCGACACATAGTTGAACTGGCTCAGCTTTCCTTAACTTCAGATATCCAAGCAGTTGCCTTGAATTATTGATGAAAGCAGGCGGCGTATCTACAGGTAATTTTACCAACATCTTCTTCGACAAGAGATATGACAATTCAACAACATAGAGCCGCTTATCTATCTCGTAATCCTCATACACCATCTGTATGAATTCCTCGAAGGTGGTTCTCACATTTAGATCTAAAACTCTACATCCCTTTTTCTCATCGACGCCGAAAACCCATCTACTCTCTTCTGTTTTCCATTTCCCGCAAACTAATATGATTTCTTCCTTTTCCATGAAGTCAGTCGTTTTCAGTGGACAAAGAAAGACTGATTTCGTACACACCAGCACAGAGGAAGAAGATGGAGAACCAGATCTGCGATGAAACCAAGAAGGAGATGAAGGACAAAATTGTCATTTTGCCATACAACGTAACTCTGCCATTAAAACACCAGTCAAGTCTACCACAACAGGAATTCGATCATAACTAATGAACACCCACCAATCGAATCAAACAGCTATTTAAAGCTGTTAAATCATTTTTTTCATCTCACTTTAATGGTAACGTAATTAACGTCATAACAATAGATGTTAGGGTTGATATAACATCATATTAAGCATTAAATCACAATTAGCAAGTGACAGATTTAATAAATCTTTCATTTCAAATCTGTCAACACAGGATGGGTTATTCTAGTAAATTATAACTATGTTGTAACGTCAGGTAAATACGTCTATCGTAATGTACTTTTCAACGCCAAATCTACCATCACGTACCAATAAGTCTGGCATGTCGTTATTATAAATCTTTCACCATTAAAGTGCTACTTGAGTAATTATAAAGATGCGAACAACTCTGTCGTTACAAGTCAATAACTTTGTCGTAAGTACGTAACTCTGTTATATCGTAAAATGTCCTAACGTAAGTCTATCGCCTCGTATAGGTTAGTCTAGTAATTTAATTTCCTTTTATATCTCTGACGCCAAGCAAAAATAAATCTATCATGATACATTAAATCTGTCATCACTTTCCGACAAATCTACCAAGAAAAGTCTGCCAAATAAATCTATCAAACCAGTTTAAATCTGTTACCATAGTAAATAAATCTAACTAAATAAGCCTGCCGTGGAAAAGTCTGCCAAATAAATCTGTCACACAAAATAACTCTGGCACTATAGTCACCTATAACTCTGTCGGCCATGATTAACTCTGTCGCACCAACAAATCTATCATCATTAGTCCGACAGATTTGCATTTTGAATCAAACAACTCTACCGTGGCACAAATCGTAATTAAACGCTGGGTAAATCGTAAATAAATCGAAGTTTTGCTGACGTGGCAGCGAAATAGTAATGGCATTTCCGTTATTTCATTTTTCCTAACAAACGTCTTTAGGGTTATAATTGGGATTTTTTTAATTTTTAAGTTATTCTAGTAATAATTGAACTTGTTATGCTAAAAAAATAAATATTGCCCGAATCTGGGTTGTTTTAGCTACTCACCCTTTTTTAAAATACAGTTTCGTTTGGTTAATTGTTTTTGGTTTTTATGTAGAAGTGTTATGTTTGATATGGCCCATTTATGATAGAAACTAGATAGAAGTTCATATTTAGGTATAATGACCTGTTTGTATTTGCAACTTTTTATATTTGTATTTATTTTGATCGAGTATATACGGACCAATTTTACTTTTATATATATCAAACTGGTAGTTTACGATGACGTGTATGAGATAAATCAGTCTCGAACAGATTGGATTGTAAGTAGTTCAGACAGTGGATTTTGTAAGGTACACTTATGGTACTGTTGTCTGACACAAATGTTTAGTTATGATACACTATAGTTATAAAAAACTATTTTATTTAATGTTTTAGGCTTTACAACTAGCGAATAATAGTATCATAATTGTACCATAAAGACTGTGTTGAATCAATTGTCTTATATATAATTAGACTTGACTTTTGAAAAACTATATTCATCTATTATTGTTTAAAATCGATATTCTTGATTGGAAAATAGTTGAAAGCGATAAAACATTCAGCTAACAAGATATTACTTTAAGAACCTCACAAATTAATAATTAATCCATGCGCAAAATACAGCTATATAACAACCTTGATTGCATCTAAAAGAAACATATTGTCTATTTACTTTAGTGCATGCACTCAAACCTACCATCTTAATGTGTTAGACCTATATCCTACAGCAAGCAGATTTCATTTCATGTAAGTGAATTATCACATCAATAAATTTTTTGGTTGCATGCACTAAAGTAAATAGACAGTATGTTATTTTAGACTAACCATCATGATTTACCAAAGGATATTTACGTATCGCACTTATATTATCCATAATACATGATATATCAAATCAAAAATATAGCAAACTAATTGTTAAGTAATCGCATTACTTATCGTTTAAGACAATATATAGTATATTCAGTTGTTCATATTTTTGCCAGATAATATTTTTAAAAAAATATTGTATTATTCTGACAATTTGCTTATATAAAATGTAGTATATATATTGACATGAATTAAGACATAAAAATATAGTATACATTCATTGTATATAAACGTTCTTAACTGCACCGATTTTAATAATTACAGTATTTATTTAGTAAGAAAATTGAACCGCTTCAAAATTTATTATGAAGTAGTGCACCTTTTACTGTTGACGACGATTCTATTTTTTTGTCTTCTATATATAACCCGTCTTCATAACTGATAATCAATCCTGCATTCTAAGATATTTTGTTAGAAAAAAATAAAATCTCAACGATTTAAGGTCTCTAACAATGTCTTACTATGACTTGGTTAGTCAACTCACACCATGGCAAGATAACTCTGTGATACGTGTTCTGATTTACAAGAAGTGGTTTGAGAAAGACAGCCGTGGTCGGGATTGTGTGGAATTCATCTTATGCGATGAAGAGGTAAATAATATTAGATTTATGTTATCTCGGTTTTTTAGTATTTATTAATTTTTATCCATAACAGTTAAAAATTGTTTCTTTAAATATATCGTTTTTAGGGATGCAAAATTCATGCTGCTGCTTATAACTGTATCCATGAATATTTTCGAAAAGAATGTCACGAAGGAGATTGCTTTGAGTTTCGTAATTTTATTGTGAAATATACTGACTGGAACAATTGGAACGAGTGTCCAACTACTCATAATTACAATATTATTTTTACGGCGAATACCATGCTTTACAAGCTACCAGAAGCGATATCTACATCGGCTTTCTTGAACTTAATCAAATTTGAAGATATTTTGAAGAAGAAAGTCGATCCTGTGTTTCCTATTGGTAATATTTACTTTCCTGTTTAAGATATTTACAATGACTGTTTTCTCTAATATTTAGTCCATTATTCGTTATGTCTCATAAACGTTTTTTTTTAATAGATTTAGTTGGTGTGATCCATTATGTTGGTGAAAGTTCAATGGACAATGAAATTGAGTCCACTTCAAGAATCCATCCAACAAAACGTTCAGAATTTCATATAAGAGATCTCGAGTAATTATCTTTTTATATTTTAAGATTGTTTTATTTTTTAAGTATTCATAGTTTTTTTGTTACTTGTATACATAGGACGTCGTTATCAAGTGTTTTGCATTTGATCAATTTGCAAGTTGTTTCGATAATACGTGGAAATCAAGAAAGTCTGATCGTGTTTTTGTTCTATTAACTGAGTGGAGACTTGGTGTCTATAAAGGTTAGTAACCACATGTAAATTAAATTTGTATTTGTTTCTGAAATGCTGGGCTTTCAAGTTATCATACCAAATGAATGTAATACAAATTAATGGGATTTTATTGTTTAAAATCTGTAAAATTATAAATAATTTTGCTTTCTATATTATATATACACTTAGCAAACTTTTAAAAAAAATTAGAAAAAACGTTTAATTAAAAGAGAATAAAGAAATGATTTAATTAAATTAAACCAGAATTAAAATGCTAGATCTGCTTGCTAGGGTTTAGATTGTTAGGACATGGAACTCTGTTGACTGAGTATTGATGATTGCTGGTTGCTGGTAGAATGTTATACAAGGAATCCGAAAAAGGATCTAAAGCTATGGAACCCTAAAACATAGATTATTTGTATCTGGTCTGAATCTATCTGTTTTTGTACAACTTAGTTTGTGTAATATAGAACTCTTAGGTCTCCAACTTATCCTTGTGTGGTTTGTCAGTGTTGTTTGATGGCTGTAAGGATGTCTGTGTGACCAGACCTTCAGTCAGCGGGGGGAGGGGGGGGGCGGCGAGCCCCAATGATTGGTCGGTGGACCTGTACCATGTCTGTGGTGACTGCTGGTGCCATGTCTGTGGTGACATAAGATCCGTTTCTATGGTGATTGGGCTGAATGGCCTTGTCTAGTGGTAGAGTGGTGGAGTGGTGGAGTGGTGCACTTCTCATGGATTCAGGGCTGTTCCGATTTGCCTTTCCGGGGAGGCTGAGTTGAACTCACCGATCTGGTTTCGGCCAGGGTCCTTTTTTGATAGTTGCTTGTAAGGTTACCCTTGTTTGTTAGCTTGTTATTCATGTTTGTTTGATGGTTTTTTGGGTCTCCGTAAAGCCCATTCTTGCTGAGTAATCCCAAATTACTCACTCATTCTTCTTCTTTGTTTTATTTTCATGTATAATAGATTAGCCATGTCTATGTTGTTGATTGTTACCTGGGCGTTTTCGAATCTAGTAAACTTGAAGCTCACCGAGGAACTATGGTCCTAACATGTCCGATTCTCCGGTTTTCTAAGAATTCTGGGATAGAGATGTTACAGTATCCATACAAATAAAGTATTTGGGATATCAAGAGCCTGCCCAAAACCTTAGTAAATACTTATTATCCGCCTATTCTATAATTTGTTTCTCTTTAATGTTTGAAATGGTCATCAAAAACAATATTTATTGGGCTTTAATAATCCAAAAGTTAATTAAAAAAAAAAGAGGTAAGAGATAAGGGAATATTCGATGTGCGAGATATTATGTTACTAGTTCTTTAACACTCAATTGGGCATGTGCAAATATGAGGTTTTGCTCAGTTCAAGAAAATAGTTTTTATCCCAGCATAACTAAAGAAAATAAATTTATATTTGATCTGGTTAACGGGTCAAACCAAACCAGGTAACTGATTATTTTTGGAGTGATGATCTATTTTCCTATAAGAATTATCATATAGCATCAGATCCCCATCAAACTATGATCTAGTTTCAGATCTACACGAATTCAAAGTTTAAGATCTAAATCTCCTTGACCTAAAATTTCGAAACTTATTTCCCTACAAATTCAAAGTTCAAAACCTCAAATCCCACAAAAATTGGTTTTAGATGGTTTACTATTTTCTAACCAAACTTAAACCATGTATAACCTATTGTAAACCGATTTGTGACCCGATTACTAAAATAATCCAAAAATTTTCCAAACCTAAACCAATTTCTTCTTCTCCCGTCAATTTCTCCATCGTCTTCTACTTCCACCTCTCTCGCTGTAACACAGATTCAAACTGATTTCTCCATCCTCTTCTACGATTTGATTTTGTTGGGTTTGTTGTTAGAAAAAAGATAAGCCTTGGGAATCAGAGTGGTGACGTGACATTAGGCAAATGACAACAAGAAACTTCGGTTCCTTCAATCTAATTAACTATATGCTGTTTCTGCAAATTTCTCAATTTTCAAGAATTAGTGGATGCCTAATTGAATTATGTACTGTCTAATTTTTAGTAAAACATGTGAATCACCATTGATGGACTTCAGATGAGACATATTAGGCTTCATTCTTTCTAGTCATCGTTGAATTCAATATCTAAACTGATAATTTTTCGTCATCATCATGCTCATTTCGTTTGCTTAAATTCAAATCATCGAAAACCATGTTATGATTCAGCAATATTGAAATTGAGATTTTAAAATGATAAAATACGGGCTGGGCGAAGCAGGGGTTTCAATTCTCGAAGCAGCTTGTAATCGTAACACTAGATTGTTCAACATCGACCTCTGATTTGGAGAATTGGATTCCTTTACCCTTTTTATGAGAATTATAGATTATAATAATTGAAAATCGATTTTAGGGTTCATATTCAAATTTTTGATTTGGAATTTTCATACTTAATTGGGGATTTTAAAATGATGATATATGGGTAAGGTTCAGGTTAAGTTTTTTTATTTAGTTTTGTGGTTTAGCGGTTAGCTCTTGGATTTAGATCACAAACCGTAGAAATCCACATTTTTGGGGAAATAAGTTTCAAAATTTTAAATTGGGAAATTTAGATTTTAAACTTTGATTTTATGTGGATTTGAATCGAGGTCATAGTGCTGGAAATCTGATGTTATATGATAGTTTTTGTGGAAAAATAGATAGTCTACCCATTATTTTTTCTATTATTTTGTATTTGTCTTGTATTTGTAAGTAATTTGTATAAACTACTTTGTACCTGGTTTGATAAAGACAACTTTACCCGTTTTTGCGGGACAAATACGGGCCAAATAGACAATTAGATTTTACGGGCGTGTATCAACTATCAAATAATTGTGCGAAGCCCTAATATGGATGCTACTTTACCAAAAAGACAATTAGATTTTAACTTTCACACACTCAGGAAAAAAGGCCATTGCCCCAATGTTATTTACGTGACTGAGCAATCACACATATTCACACGCACAAATATATCGAGATATTTACAAACAGGAAAAGTACACATACACAAGCAGCTTTCTCGATAGAGATACATGCAACGGACTCGGTTGAATGTTATCCTGACATACACAATACAATCAACCGATTTGATCCGTCACCTTTTATTTTATTTTTTATGTATGAAAATTATTTTTTTTTATAAAGTTTTTCTTTTGGTATGAACTTGCAAGATATTTAAACACACACCATGACATGCAAATTATTAAACATTAGCTAGATAAGTTCCTCAAGAGGTATTTACTCTTGTCTTTTTGATCGAGCTGATTAATGTGAATCAGAGATACTCAGTTGTTGGAGATACGAAAGAACTCAACACCGAGATATATCTCATCGTCTACCAGAAATCCCCTCGAAATGTTGTTGAGTTCCTCTAGTGGCAACAACAGGGGTTGCCCCACCGTGCTATCATCGAGAAACAAATGTTCGTCCTCTTTATCAACCAAATGGAAATTAAAATTAGCAAAAGGCTTATGTTGTTAGGCATATATGTGATAAGCTTAATAAACAAATCAAAAAGAGAGAAGTTAAGTATATATACTAATCTCATAGTGATTGCGTTTGAGTTGGTCGTATATTCGTAGTTTATAAATGGCCATTGTTTTTGTCTTTGGACCGTTTGTCATGTAGTCGGATGCATTCAAATAGAACGAAAAAGAGTTTCCTTCCCCGATGCCGTCTCCTCTTGGGTACATCACTAGATTCCTGGTTGAGAAGGAAAATACATGTTTGTGTATTAGATAAATTTCACTACATTAATGATGTGTACTATCTCCCTTTTATGTTTTGCATTGTTTTGTTATTTCAATGTAAAACACTACTTCATTTTCTAAACTTACCCCTACAGTATTGTATTTTTATTTGAAAGATAAATTTATAAAGTAGCTACAATTGAGTCCTTTTAGTGAGTCCTTAATTTGTGTATGTTCGACCAAAACATATTATAAACTGAAGCAGAAAAAGTATATAATTTGCTCATTTTCATACCATTTCCGTGGTCCAACGGTGAACTCATGCGACGAGTGCTGTTTACCATTGAAGGAGGAAAACATCATTATCTTCCAGGTGAATCTGGAGTTGTTCCCAGGCATCTCGATCACTTTAAGAGATACGAGTACCAAAAAAAGGAAAACTCTAATAGTAAGGAACTGAATAATATAATTGTTTCCTTAATAAAACAATGACAACAAAACATTGGAGTAAAGCAAAAATTGGATAAAAGATATTTATATGGTACTCATGGAATTAGAAAATGAGCCAAAGTGAAAGAGTAACGTGATGAGGATTTGAAGTGTTGTTGAGGATCTAAACCATTATATATACCACTTTCAGCTTAAGAAGATTTAACTTAAATTAATCAGATTATAGATATTTATAAGTATCATCTGACTCCATACCTTCGCATATGCTTCCGTCCGTGATTGGAGGGTTTGATATGAATGTGACTTTTTCTTGTTTTTCGGCCGGCTTTACGACGAAGATCTCAGCACCAAAAGAACAACTGTCATGCAGAATGTAACCTTCGTTTGTGTTGCAAAATGTTGGAAGATGAATGAATTTTCCAAATCCCCACTCTTTTTTCGCTTCATTGAATTTTTTCACTTTTCCATCTGTAACCCAGGCCCCACGATTAGGTATAAGTTTACGATCAGATTTATTAAAAAATCAGACTAATCTCCAAGATCTACAACCGCCAAGTATATGTATCAGTGGTTCAAATTAATCGCGGTCTCTACTAATATCTATAAAATGTTTCATATATCTATAAAATAAAAGAAAATTTCTATAACGATAAACCAACTAAGTTTCTATTACCATTTTGATACACTAATTTTTTTGCATGCCCAAAAAACAATACACTAACTACTTTGTTTCTATTTTAATTCACGGACTCGTTGTGTAAAAATTTTACGACCTAACACTATAGTAAGGTCTTCCGACACAAACTTATTTCAGGGTCTTCAACAAAGAACACTTTTCAAAATCCATCAATCCGATGCTCTTCTTCATGAGGTCGCAAATAGTTATATTGTATGATTGTTTTTATTTTTAGTTTAAACTCGTGCTATGTTATAAAATGGTTAAGAGTCGTACTATGATGAATTACAAAAAAAAAAAAAAAAAATAGATAGTGTATTGTTCTGGGTATGAAAAAAGTTGGTGTACTAAAATGGTAACAGAAAATTGAGTTGGTTACTGAATTTTCCCTAAAACAAATATTTCAACAAAAAAAATATTTATAAAATGTAATGGATCTAGTAAAATCCATATACATATCTAAAGTGTGGATGATGCTGAGGATAACCTGTAACAGTTAAGTACTTCTGTTTCTTCTTATTCTCCACAAAGAGTTTGAGATCAACATTGACTTCCCAACCTTTGGGAAGTAACTTTGTATCTTCGATCTTCACGTAAAGTGATATATAATTATTGCCTCCGTCTTTTTTATTACCAGTCACGTACAAAATCATTCTCCTGATTTTTTGTTTTGTTTTCACCATTAAAATGATCTCAAAAATCATGAAAAGTATTCCATATAAGTTTCAAAAAGAGTTTTAACTTTTAATTGGAAAGAGTATACGATCTTTACCATTTGTAACCAACAGCCTCAAAAACAGATGATTCGTAGGGTTCATTTCTCTCCTTTATTACGGAGAAACCTGCTATTGTCACTATCTTACTGGATGGTCGCTCTTCTCTCAACATTCTTTTCAATCCTGTCAACAAATGTTTCTAGGAAAATCAACAAAAAAGAGGTTTCCGTCTTTCACCTTAAAAATACAAAGAAAATTAATGATTTCAGATTTAGACAAAAAAAAGGATTTCAGACAGCAAGCAGTACCAAGATTCACCCCGAGGCTGTAAGAACTGTTATACTCTGTAGTCTGTACGACAGTACGTATGCCCACTTTCAGTATTTATCATACACGTTGCAAAAGTAAAATACTGAAAGTGGGTTCGTCGTGAAAAAGAGAAACAAAAAGACAAGAATTCTTTGCTTAGATCAAGAAAAGAATATGTTAATACTCAGTCGTTATTATGATTTACTTGATTGAATATGTAAAGTATCAATTCGATTTTAAAATCAAATCGATCTGCTCAAACCGATGTATTGGAGAAAATTACTCTCACATCGGAAAATATAAGATGATTATTGACAAAATGGCATAAGAAAATTTGACATAGTACGTACGTTATTTTTTTCTTTTTGATTAATATTATTTTACTTAGCAACCTCGAAAATTAGAAATGATTTACAATATTGAAATCGAGCAAAATAATCAGATAAACCAAATCAAATGAGATGAGCCGATTATACTGTTCGCCGGCGGAGAGACTGTCCCAAACCTCTACGTTTAATTGATTGATAATTTTTTTTTTTACATTACATTAAATTGGTTAGTACATGTTTTATAAGCGTATTGTATCCTGGATTTCAGTATTATAACAAACATTGTTATGAATAGAATATCTAAGTGCCCATCTTCTCTATTAAAAACAGAAGCATGTTTTGTTTTATTATTTTTAGTTTTCTACTATTTTACTTATGGATATCTACTATTTCTGTTGCTAAACAAAAATTTAATTTTTTTATTTATCTGTTTTATTTATTTCCAAAAATTAATTATTCTCGATTTCTTTATTCTCTTGCCAAACAAAAATGAATAAATTTAGTTAAAATTAAAGTCAATAAAAAGTTTTAGAATATTTTCTGTTTCCTTATTCTCTTAGTTCAGTTTGTTCCCCAAATCTTTGTAAACATATATATAATATATATATATATATATACGTTTTATTATTTATATAACAATTGCTTCTCTCTTCTTTTTTTTTTTTATTGACAATATTTAGCAAAATAATCTATCTATCAATCTATTCTTACACCAAAAACGTAAGATTTAATTTTTGTCTATGTATATTCTTGTTTATTACGGGATGATAAGAAATACATTTTTCTGAATCAATCGTTATAGTATGTCTCTACGATCATAATCATATTGTACATTATATCTCGTCAGATCATATTTATATAAAAAGAATGAGATTGATGTTACTGATGAGATGTTATCAATGCTTATCTAGAATAATAAAGATATGATCTTTGTATCTCTAATGGATTTTTTGAAATTTATTTGATATTTAGATCGAGATCTTGTTATATTAAGCATTAGATTTTTTGTGATAGCTATTTAATTAACCTAGTTATTCTTTGACAAAGCTACTTTTGTTTACTTGTTCGATATTTCTATATTATGTTTGATAATAATTGTTAACCGCATATGAGAAGTGATTCATTATCAATCGGTTGAATTTATATTAATAAATATGACTCATGCTTACAATTATCAAAGTCTAATTCATCGTTTATTGTTTGTTCGCCATGGCTGTGATGCTACATTGTTATTACCAATAAGCTTTCTCAGCACACATGCATGACACACGTACACATGTTGTTGATAGTCATTAGTTAATTAGAAATTGTCTGTATTGAAAAAATGAAGCATGTTCATTAAGAGAATCGTTGGTTTGATTTTATTGCTTCGTTATTGCTTTATCGTTTGATACTAGGTACTAACCTGCGTTGCGTTCTGTACAGGGTGAAATTTATCTAAATATGTTTTGGAAAATTTATCTTTTAAAATCATAAGATTAAAAATTAATTTAATTTTAGTGTAAATTATATAATAGTTGTGATGACATATATTTTTCCAATTTTTTATTCTTCATAAATTATTAAATCATATAATCATATTATATATTCATATGTCATCTAAATTAATTAAATAGTAACATCTACTTGATTTGTTGTAAAAAATAATTATACAATATCATCGAAAAATTATTACCAGTAATTTTACTGTAAATCGTTACATTATTTTAGGGATAAAGTAGACATACCACAATAAAATTAAACAAAAAAGATAGTAATAATAGTTTTTGGTGATATAATCATGGTTGATATTAAAACCAGAATTATTATTTATAAAAAAAAAATCATGAATCATATAACATATTTAGGTTATATTATTTCTGGTAAATATTTGACAGCTGTGATATTATGAGCTTTTATTTTTTAAAAGTCAATGTATAACATGACACATGTCTATTCTAAATATATAAATTAATTAATACAAGTAAGATAAGAGTATGTAAATGACATATTTATAATTAATCTAGTAAGTTGAACCTGTTTTCAAAAAAATCTTTGAGAAGTTTTCTGAGATTGACACCTTATCATGGCATTCATGTAAATAATACATAGGATAAAAGTTTTTTTTTTAAGTTTCTTTATCAATTAATAATATAAAATATTATATGTTAGTCTAATTGTTTGGTATAGCTGATAGAAAAGAATTATGTTTATCCAATATAAACAGTGTGATGTTGAACCTGCTTTTATTAATGTATATATTTTAATTGATTGGCAGAACGGTGAATAATTAGATGTATATATTTTTTTTTATAGAAATATTTTATAGATTTATTCATATGCAGTGTTTAGGAAATTTTTAGTTCTCTTTGTGGGTAAGTTTTCTGCAAAACTAGCAAACACGTGAAGGCCTAGAAAACACGATAGAATGGTGTTTTCCGATGGCTCTAAACCGTTCAAGTCCGTAAACGGTAACGAAAAGACCACAAAGTGGCAAATCGGAGAGAGAAAAGATGTCGAAAAATAAGAGAAGAAAAAACGGGCTGAGAGCTCTGGAGAAATATAAAATCTACTTGGGCCTGAGTTCAGTGGGCTTTTTTGGTATAAAAGAGAAGAAATGTAAGAGTTTAACGGTGGAAATGCTCCACGGTCTAGGAATTGCCATGGAGTGGAAGTGAAGTGATGAGATGGTCAGAATAATGACTGGAAAAGAGAGTGGTACAGCTTAAGGTTCACAAATATCTAGAAAGATAGCATGAGCCTTAAGATTGCGAAAGAATTGAATCTCTTTTCTTGTTAGAAAGGGTTAAGTATTTATAAGATTTTATCTGACTCAGATTAGTATATTGGGTCGGTCCATGGGTCATGGGCTTTGCGGGTCAGTTCGGAATCAGACTTGCTTAGGTCCGAATCTTATATTTGCATAATGTTTCTGACGGACTCACCAACTTTCCTTGGCGTGTTTCCTGCTGCGAGACCGTTCCTTGGCGCGTCCTTCTCATCTTCAGCGTACGAGTTAGGTACAGCGGTTCAGACGTGGTATGGTCTTCACTGAACCTCTGCTTTTCCTCTGCATTCTGCGAATGGTCATTGTCACATGTAAGCATTGTGCATTAAATGCCAATCTCATAGGTTTGTAAAGGGTATGAGCAACCAAATCAGTCCAGTTATATTTTTCTGCTTCATGCATTATTCATACATGGCCCGGATTCCTTGATAGCATAGCGCATTAAATACCTTAAAGCATAGTGCATTAAATACCTTTAGGTTTATACAGTATTTCCCGCTTTATGAATTATTCATACCTGGTCCGGATTCCTTGATAAGGTTATATTTCCTTATATCCCGACTCTTCCAGATCACTGAGCTTAAGTCTAGGACATAGAAAGAGTAACATTTCCTCCTCCTGACCATTCAATTCTTGACCTCTTTTTCTCTGATACCGTGGCCTGCACTGTCAGATACGAGGAACCCGAGAACAAGTGGCCTTCTGTGCCGAATCTCCCAAATTCGAAGGATCTAAGGCTCGGTGCTATATGCTTAGATTGTATTAATTAGACCGTACGTCCAATACGAATTTGACCCATGGGGCCGTACCTGCAAAAAAAACATGGACGCTACGTGCAAACACGCTGCTCGTCCACGTAGGAAGGATAAAATCTAACCCCAACATACAGTATATTATATTTATAATATAATTTTTTTAAAAAAAAATTCATATTTCATCATATTTATTATATATCACTTAATTATAATAGTATTTTTAAAATAGTAAATATCAGTATTTAAAACGTATAGTTTACACTTTAATATAAACATAATTTTTATATTAATTTAACAAAATAAATTAATAAAATATATTTTAAAAAATTATTTTGAATCACTGAAATATTTTTAAACCTAAAGTTTTTGAAAAACTCCATGTAAGAACATAGAGGAATGAGCATTTAAGAGAGCATTTGCATCTTCTAAATGTTTTTTTTAAATACTCTGTGAACAAAAGTTGATTGGATAATTAAAAGATCTTGTTTAGCTGGTTTAGAAAATTGCTGGTATGAATTATGATGTATAATACGTGAATGCTTATTGTCTTACAATCTTAAATGTAGTGATATGTCTAGTAACGAAGGAACTACCAAAATCTTATAGATTTAAATCGGAAAAAGGAGTTGACTCTGTTGTGGAGTTTCGGTATCCATGGCTTCCACCAAAATGTGATACTTGCTCTAAATGGGCGCATCTCAAGGAATCCTGTTTCATCGGGAAAAAGAAAGCTACAAAGCCAGTTGTAAAATACATCGTGACGGAGAAAAATGTGGAAACTAAGGAAGAGCAAACTGGGACGAAAGACCAAATACAGAAGACTGGAATGGAAATTGAGGTATATGGATCGAACAATGAAGCAAAGAATGATGAAGGAAGAGTCAATGCTAAGGAAACAACTGCAAATGATGACCTGAATCGAAAACTTGAGGAGGAAGTAGAAATAAGGCTACTAGACGCAGAATCCTGGTGCTCACCAACATAGATGGTTCGAGCTTCAAACAGAAATAAAGGCGAGGGGAGCATGGAGATACCAGAGTCACCTTCTCGATACCATATATTAGCAATTCAGAATGATGGTGATGCAGAGGAAGAAGCACAATCATTAGAGGAAAAGGATTTTGAAGAGGGGGAAATCCAAAGCAGGGATCAAGAGGCTCATGATGAGAGATTGGAGGAAACGAGTACC